CTTCAGTTCCCAAGTTCAGAATCACTATAGGAAGAAGTATTACAAAGCACTTTTGGAGTTAGACCTGACTAACTAAAAGCAAATTAATCTTATGCTGTCCACTTATCCTCTTGCATAAAATCTATATATATAAAAGCCCAGTGACCTAACGGTGGAACTACCAGAACGACTGGTCGACCAGTCGCTATGATGTGCACTGACCACCATGGGCAGACGTTCAATGCAGGAGCTGCCCCCTGGTGGTCAGTGCGCTCCCACAGTGGGAGTGCCACTCGGCTGACCGGGATGAGCGGTGCTCCCACAGCAGGCTCCCACAGAAGGCTGATCCCCGCAGGCCATGCCCCCCACCAGTGCAGAAGCGATAATGATGTTTATGTCTACATTATAGAATTGTTAGGGCATTAGAACTGTGACAGTGCCTGGCCTGCAAAATGTGCTCAATAAATATTTCATTTGTTTTTATTCATTCCATCTACAATTACTGTTTTAAAGGATGTCGATGTATACTTTGACTTTTTTCTGTCATGCTGATGTCATATATGCCCAGCTACTTCTATTGTATAGTTCCTACATTTAGTAGGTTGCTTCCCAGAGTTCTCCATGGAGAATATAACTGCAACCATGGAAAGTCAGGTGGCTTATACGGAAATCAAATCCATGTCCTTGTAACAAGTCCAAATCCAATAACATGTTAGAGCTAAGTAAGCCAACCTGGCAAACACCACATTTCTTTGTCTGATAGTTATAGTACCTTAATAAGAGAAGCTGTGCTAGTTGAATAATTTATGTTGAGAGAATTTAAGCAGGAAAGTTCTGGATTCAAATTAAAATGGTAATTTTTCAGTTAAATAAATTTGTCTTTTCAGTATGATCGCCCTGGTGCATCCCCTAAGAGGAATCATGATGGAGAGTGCACTGCTGCCCCGAGTGAGTCAGGGGTCTCACTGATACTTTGCTGGACAGTAATTAATTATGTTGTTGTGTTATAGTAGTAATATTTAGACTTATATATGTTTTAATATACTTCTGCAGTATATATAGTTATATCGTAATATACTATATATTACATATGTCTAGTAGTTATATAGTAGAGTTCCTTTTTATTGTATTTTTGTTATTTTATATTTTTGTCGTTAATCCTCACCTGAGGATATTTTTCCATTGATTTTTAGAGTGGGATGGAGAGGGAGAAACAGAGAGAAAAACATCATGTTATTTTAATCTGCTAAAAGTTGGTTGGTGGCCCTTTCAAAACTTGGTATGGCTGTATGAGACATGAAAATGCTTTGAAAGTATGTTTTGTTGCTTGTTGTATTTAAATCAGCTTCATAGCAAGCTTTTATTTTATCAGGCTCCTTTATACTACCATGGAGGCATGATACCTTGCTCAGAAGCCTGGGCTCTAGAGTGGGACACCTGGTTTCAATTCTGCCTCTCATTTTGGGCATGTTCCTTTCTTACTGATAGAGATAGTATTTTACAGTTATAAGGTTTAAATGAAATTGTATGTAGAATACCTTGTAAACACCTCCTCACTGCAGTACTGCTTTGATTTGACTCAGCTGTTGCTTTATTTTTTAAGTTAACCTTTATGGAGCCTCCCATTTTCTCCCTTTGGAAATTAAATGGAAAGTTACTTAATATTGAGTGGAAATTGACAGGTTAGGTTAGTCTCATAGGCACTTCCTTTGTACTTTGAGAATTGAAATTGTTTGTCTTTGGCTGATAGCGAATCGGCAGATTGAAATCCTGGACCTGGAAGACCTGGAGAAAGAGTGCTCCTTGGCTCGAGTGCGCCTCGCCCTGGCTCAGCATGAGCCATCAGCAGTTGCTGTTGCAGGTAGGGATGCATTAGTCTGTCGGTACCAGTAGTGGACTTGGCATGCTAGATGGCTATAACGCTTTTCATTGTTATTCTGGATACTTGTCAACAGTTTGGGGGCTCATTTGCATATACCTCTGGTTGCACTGAGTGGTGCTTTTCCATTTCCATAGGAAGCTCATCAGCAGAGGAGATGGTCACTCTCTTGGTTCAAGCTGGCCTTTTCGACACTGCCATATCACTGTGTCAGACATTTAAGCTTCCCTTAACGCCAGTCTTTGAGGGCCTTGCTTTCAAGTATGTATGACACTGTCTTTTCATAGTTTTAATTTTCCTAATGCAAAAGTGCTGTTGCTTAGTGTGAAGCAGGGGTCACACAAGCCAGTTTCCTATATATAACCCAGTGTTTTTGTTTAGTTCACACAAAGGTTGTTTAATTTCTTTTAGACAATTGTGATTTTTTTTAATTAATTGATTTATAACTTCTCTTGAGAAGATCTGACATTCCTGGACCTCATTCCTACAGGACAGTAGATAACCTGGATTAAGAATAGTGGTGTCACCCTAGCTGGTTTGGCTCAGTGGATAGAGCATTGGCCTGCGGACTGAAGGGTCCTGAGTTCGATTCCGGTGAAGGGCACCAAAAAAAAAAAAAAAGAATGGTTGTGTCCATTTTAGGCAAGGTATGCTCTTTTCAGTCCTTTAGGACATCTGGTCCCTGGAAGCATTCTTAAAAAGTACTCCTTCCTGAAGTTACCTTATACCTAGATATTGGTCAAGTACTTTGTGAATTGGAAATACCAACTTCCAGAATTTTTCAACATCAATTTTCTCTTGAAAGTAAATAATCTCTTAACATTTATTAATGGCCTTGTGGGTCATTCAGTTTTTTGGCTATGAGGAGGGAGAAGAGCCAGTACCCCAGTAGTGAATTCAGAATAGACTAGAGCTAAAATTGTCGTCTTATCTCTAGTTTTAGTAACAAAGTAAGGTGGTGCTTTTCAGCAAATTGGTTTATTGTGTGTGGAACCATTTTCATTGCAGATGCATCAAATTGCAGTTTGGAGGAGAGGCAGCACAAGCAGAAGCCTGGGCCTGGCTAGCAGCCAATCAGCTCTCTTCAGTCATCACCACAAAGGAGTCCAGGTACAGCCCTAGTATTCCTCCGACCCTGCGATGGCTCACCCTCCAGGTACTTCCCTAGGACAGCCAATTAGTGTCTGCCTGACTATCTCCGTTTCTCAGAGTGCTTCTCTGACAACTCTAATTCTCAAAACTTTCCTTCCTTGAAATGCATTTACAGTCTGTATCATGTAGCATAGCACTTTAGAGTTGTAGCATTTTACAGTTTGGAAGTCTCTTAACCCCTAAATTAGCACACCGGAATCACTATTAAAATATAGATTACGAGACCTGGTCATTGTGGCTCAGTTAGTTGAGCACTGTCCCATGCACAGAAAGGTTGCCAGCTAGTTCGATTCCCGGTCGGGGCACAGACCCAGGTTGCAGATTTGATCCCTGGTCGGGGTGCATACAGGAAGCAACCAATCGATATTTCTCTTTCTCTCCCATCCTCTCTCTCTTAAAAAAAAGTAAAATACAGATTATGAGATAACACCCTAGCCTTCTAAATCAGAACTTGTACATCAAGCATGTCAAACTCGCGGCCCGTACATGATTATAGTGCTTGATCAGGTTTGAAAACAGTAATCTAAGCCATTTTTCTTATTTTAGAAATTTGGAAGAAATTAAGTGAATTGTTAGTCCAGTAAATATGTGGTTAGTGGGAGAGGAAATATAAGACTTTAAGTCATCTAGTTTCTAGTACTACCCCAAAGTCACATTGACCCTAATATTAAGTGTCATTTAGCTATATTATTAATTCAGTTGTGAGCTTCCAACAATTTTTTTAAATTGATTTTAGAGAGGAAAAGAGAGATAGAAACATCATTGATGAGAGGGAATAATTCATTGGCTGCCTTCTGCATATTGGACTAAGCCCACAACCCAGGCATGTGCCCTTGACCAGAATCAAACCTGGGACCCTTCAGTCCGCAGGCCGCCGCTCTATCCACTGAGCCAAACCAGACAAAACCAAAGATTTTTTTCCTTGTAAATACATGGTACTATAAATATTTGTTAAGAATCTGGAACTCATTAGTCTTTCTTTTATCAAGTGCTACAGATGAAGCATGGCGACTGTTATCAACATACCTGGAAAGGTACAAAGTCCAAAATAACTTATACCACCACTGTGTAATCAACAAGCTTTTGTCTCATGGAGTGCCTCTGCCTAATTGGCTTATAAACAGTTACAAGGTAAGTGGTATCTTCACTTGTAGAGAATAAGAAGCTGATCTTTAAGATTCTGAATAACTTCTGAGATGAGTAAAAAAAATATAAAGAGTAATAATTTATGGAAATATACTGACTTATATACTTTGGGCAGCTTCTCAATCTTAGCTAAAAACAAAACAGTTTTAATTTCTATTCCACATGAAGTACTGAGTGATTAAAGTTCTGCAGGTTAGTGATTAAGTTAATGCTTGCTTGTGTGCTCACTGAACAATGAATGTACTAGTATATTTAGCACAGTGAGTATATGCATGACACAGTATTTACTATTCCCTACTCAAAAAATTAACAGGAGTGGGTGGAGTAGTTTTCAAATTACTACAGCAGTCTTTCATTTTTGTCAAAGTTGGATTTTTGGACAGCCTGTTTCAGAATTATTTGGATAGTGGGCTTCTTCAAAATATATATTCCTGGGCCCCATCCCATTCCAGACTTACAAAATCAACTTTCCTGGAGTTAGGAAGCAGGATCTATATTTTAACAAGCTCCTAATTTAATTTGATGCACTCTTAAGTATGAGAAGTACTAGATCTGAAATGCCTTGTAAGAATAGAGAAGGAGGGAATGTAAAGCTTAACGTCCAGAAAGTCATTTTTTTAAGTTAGAAAGTAGAGAAGGCAGCTAAGATGGTAAAGGTTGGTTGTGATCCAATCAGGATACAGAAAGCCTAATTAATGTGAATGGAGCCCTTCCAAACTGAGGCTGTATTCACTTTTCTCACACCCTAAGTTAAATATGAATTTAATTCAGGCTTTTAAAGTTGATGATTCTTTTAACTTCTTTGGCATTTGTCATTTGTTTATTTCTGGGAATTGATGTAAATATATTGTCTTTAGTACTCAGCATTGCTGGGGAGGTTTACCACTGTGGAAACAAGTAGAAAAGAATTAAAATGTGTCTTACATCACAAATCAGGAGAGGAAGGCCACTTAACGGATAGGACCTCACTAGGTGCCAGAGGGTAACTGGGCTGTTGGGAATCCAAACCTTATCCCAAGATAAATAAACCAAGATAAGTAAACCAGGGTGCTCTTTTATTCTTATTGAGAAGTATCAGTGGAAGAGAATTAGACACAACATCCTTTGATTATTGCCTAAGTAAGATAGAAACAAGCAGATGTTTTTAATTGCTGACTCTTTACAGAAGGTTGATGCCGCTGAGTTGCTCCGTCTGTACTTAAATTATGACCTTTTGGAAGAAGCTGTGGATTTGGTTTCAGAATATGTGGATGCTGTTCTGGGAAAAGGACACCAGTACTTTGGAATTGAGGTAGGCTTCCTATCTAATAAAAGGCTAATATGCAACTCAACCAAATGGCGAAATGACTGGTCGCTATGACACCCACTGACCACCAGGGGGCAGATGCTCAATGCAGGAGCTTCCCCAATGGTCAGTGCACTCCCACAGAGGGAGCGCCACTCAGCCAGAAGCCGGTCTCATGGCTGACAAGCACAGCAGCGGTAGCAGGAGCCTCTCTCGCCTCTGCGGTAGCGTTAAGGACCCCTTGGGGGATGTTCGCCTGCCAGCTTAGGGCCGCAGGGAACTGGGCCTAAGCTGGCAGGCAGACATCCCCCAAGGGGTCCTGGACTGCGAGAGGGCACAGGCTGGTCTGAGGGGAACCCCACCCCCGCCAGTGCATGAATTTTGTGCACCAGGCCTCTAGTGTATACATAACACTTCATTTCATTCTGTTAGCACACTAAGTAAAATCAGGAACTGAAACAATTAGACTACAGAGTAGTAGATTTAACCTTAATTGTTAGTAATTTTTACAACTAGTTTTCTCCAAGATTAGGGACTGGCACTCTTAAGAGTCTTCTGTTTCCTGTTTATAAAATGGGAATACTTTCATTTTTCTCCATCAAAGGAGTGTGGCTTTAGTTAGTACTTGGAAGAGGGAGGTAAATAAGAACAAAATGGCATTTTGTGTGTGAAGACTATGCTGAATCTCTACCAGTGTTTTCTCAATCTTTACAGTAGCCTATAAGGGATTGTTTTAATCCCCTTTTATTAACCCATAAGGAAACAGGCTCAGGTGTTAACTTGAAGTTGCGAAAGTTCACACAGATGGTAAATAGAGCCGCATTTAAAATCCAAGTCTAGTTAACAGCAGAGCCAAGCTCCCAAACTCTCAGGAAAGTATTCAGAACGTTCAAAGTTAAACTTTTCTTTCCAAACCTTTTTTTCCCAGATAATTGGAATCTAAATTTTAGACTGAAAATAGTATCATTCCTTGATATTTTAGAGAAGTTTTGTTGAGTATGTTTATCCTTAATGGGATAAACTTAGGAGTCTTAGGGTTCCTTTAAAATAAGAGATGACATGAATTTAAAAATATATTTGATTTCATATTTGAGAAAAGCACAAGTTCTCCAATTGGAAAGAGAAAGGGGGTAGGTGGGGTTCCAACTGTGTGTGTGTTTGTGTGTGTGTGTGTGTGCATGCGCGCACTCATGCAATTTCTTACTGTGAAGAAAAAAAAAAGTAAAACATTTTATGTTATCAAAGCCTATGAAAGTAACTACCAGAAGAAATGGTCTACTTTTTGGTTTTCTTTAAATTATAGATATTTTTTCTTTCAGTTTCCACTGTCTGCGACGGCTCCAATGGTGTGGCTCCCATACTCTTCCATTGATCAGCTTCTCCAAGTATTGGGAGAGAATAGTGCCAACAGTCACAACATTGCAGTGAGTCAGTCCTTTCCTCTCTATGCCCCTGCACTAGCTGTTACATCTGACAGCTGGATCTCCAGTTCTCAAGGAGTTAAGGAAAGGGCAGCACCATGTATTCCCCTAACATGCTGCCTCAATCCTATATACTAAAAGGCTAATATGCAAATTGACCAAACAGCAGAACGACCGGTTGCCATGACGCGCACTGACCACCAGGGGGCAGATGCTCAACACAGGAGCTGCCCCCTGGTGGTCAGTGCACTCCCACAGGGGGAGCACCACTCAGCCAGAAGCCCTGAGCTAGGCTCACAGCTGGCGAGCGCAGCAGTGGCGGCAGCGCTAAGGATGTCTGACTGCCGGCTTAGGCCCGCTATCCAGAGGCCCAAAGGGAACGTGCCTAAGCCAGCAGTCAGACATCCCCAAGGGCTCCCGGACTGTGAGAGGGTGCAGGCCGGACTGAGGGACAACAAACTCACCCCCTCCCCACCCCCCAGTGCATGAATTTCGTGCACTGAGCCTCTAGTCTAATAAAATGACTAGTTAAATCAGATGTGGCCTCTCTGGTTCTGGGAAGAGAGCTGGCAATGCTTTTATTGAAGATCTTGGTGTGATTTGCATAATTGGAAAATCATTAGGCAAACAGGATTGGAGTATTATATATACTAGTATAACAGAAATCCAGTTTTATCAGTAGAGTCCCAAAGCAGACTCATATACTGGATAGTGATTAAATGAAGCAGAGTGGCTAACATCTTCATTACGGGAATCTGCTTGGTGAAGTCAAAATGAAAGCCTCAGTCTTTTGCAGTCCTTGACATATTTTGTAATGATTTCCTCCTTTTCTCCAATAGCTGTCGCAGAAAATACTTGACAAATTGGAGGACTACCAACAAAAAGTTGATAAGGCAACACGGGATTTATTATATCGTCGGAACTTGTGATCCAGATGGTCGCCTAGCCTTTGTAACCGCTTGGTGCCTCTTAGGGCTTAAGACTTTACCCTACAGGAACCCTGTACTCCAGGCTAATTTTTATACCTGTAAATGATGTGTACAACATTCAAGTCTGCATTCTGCGTAAGAGAGTTGGACAGAGGAGTCACAGGACCTGCGCTTGCTGGCGGTGCTAACATACAATTTCCGGTTTCATTTTGGGTCTCGAACAGCTGCTTTTGTATATGATTCACAAGCTTTTTTAGAGTTTATATTTTTTTAAACTACCGGAGACATTCTTTATCTGCAAATTAAACCCACCTTCACTTTCCAAACGGGTGATGGTTGTTGGTTTGTTGTAGCTGACCACCAAAAGCAGTCACTGCAAATCCTTTCATTCTTCCCTCTCACTTTTTGTATTTCAATGATTATTTTGGTCCAGAACTGACATGTATTTTCTGTATTGCAAACAGAGGCTATGATTTTACATACTCTTTTCATTATTTATTGTGGAATTTTTGTATGATCTTCAATAAAGTATTAAATAACTTGCCTAGATTAAGCCTAAACAAAGACCAGCTGTCAAAGAAGATATCTTATTTTGAATCTGGTTCTCAGGCTAAAGTTGAATCAACTCTTAGCTAAGAAAAAATTAGAAATCCATCCTCTATAAAAGTAATAAATTTTTCAAAGTAAATTCTGTTAACTTCTGTGATTTATAATAATCAAGCCGGACTTGATCATACAGTTAGTCTAATCATGTATTGGGCCAAAATATAAATGTTCCTGGTCAGATTCAAAAGCATTCATGCCCACGAATTTGGGGAAAGTGAAAAATAAGATCTTGCATTTTATTCTGTATATTAAAATTATCTTTTAAGGAAACCATCTGTATATATTTGCTTGTATACCTTTTGACCTTCCTTGAGTTTTTCATAAGCCTTTTTTATAATATCAACACCATATTTACATTATATATTTTAAATAACAAGTTTCCCTGTGGTATTGTTATTGGTAGATAATTGTGGTATTTGGTTCTTTTTTATTGTAACTTTTGTCATGATAAATATGAAATGTTTAAGGCAATTTGGGACTGGGAGAGAGAGCCCTTGTCCTCCCAGCATTATAAACCTGTGGCTTCCAACTACAGCAAGAAAACAAAGGTTTCACAAGAGATGTATCCTCTTACTGTTTTCATGAGTGACTAATGGATCATACATAACCCACAGTCTGAAAAATATCAAACCTAGTTGTTGCCATTTCTAGAGGATAAGAAGCTTGAGATCAGCACTGTTGAAGAAACCTATCCTTTGTATTGCTTATCAAAGCAGTGGTTGCCATGGTGACAGTTCATAAGACACTGGCCAGCTTTTACAGGGACCTCAACAACCAATATGAGGGTTCATCCGTAAGTAGGGCATAATGATCTCTACCCCACACGGTTGTGAGAATTAAATGCAATTCTACTTATAAAGCGCTTAGTACCTGACATATAGTAAGTGTTCGATAAATGTTAGGTATTATTAGTATGCTTAGTAAAAACTGAGCAGCCAGGGGTATAAAAATATATCCCACTGGATTTCTTAAGCTCAATTTAGAAGGGGTAAATGAGTACCAACAGTATAAATAAACGCCAAGTGCTGGGGAGGAGCTCAACATTGAGATAGAAGGTTCAGAGAGGTAATGCCTGCACGGGTCTTGAGGTATTAAAAAAAATTCGCCATGTGATGCAGTAGTTATTCCAGATAATGTGAAGGACTTAAGGTGAGACAGGTGACGTTCCTAGTGGCTGGCTCCAGAAAAGGGGTGGGGGCTGGGGGTTAGAAAAGGAGAGTGCAAAGGAAGATATACATCAAGCAGGTTAAGGCTACCAGTGGGCCAGATTGGGAAGCTCCTGTATCTCACCGCAACAGCTGGCTTTTACCTCGTATGTAGTGTAATTTCTAGTGATTTCCCCCCCCCCCCAACTGATAAGCAACACTACATCATCGTTATGCCCTAAGAAAAAATTTACAAAAGCATAAAAGACCCAGTACTCTATTTACTGTTCAATGCTGTACCCAAAGTAAGCCACAATAATCAGAGAGAAACTTGGGGGAAAGACCTGGAAAGCAGCCCACCTTCCTAAAGGACAAATGATAAGGAACGGTAGGCAGAAAACAGGCACAACATGGAAGACAAGCGGGTAAAGAAAAGACTCCGCAAAAGACGCATGGGTGGAGCCGGAGGTGCGGGGGAAATCATTCTAAACTCAGGCCCTTCCGTACAATTGGCTTGACGCGCACTCGTTTTTCCTTTTTCCATTGGCTATAGTCCCCTTCAATAGGCCAAAATAGCCAATAGCCTAGCTCTGTGAATAAAGCCCGCCCTCCCCCCCTGGGGGGAGGAGCCAGAAGACTGTACAGGGCTCAAGGCGCTTGCGCAACCCGCGCTCCGCCGTTAAAAGCGGATCCTCGCAAGAGGCGGTGTCGCGAGGCATGAATATTGATGACGCAGCGCCGCGCCGAGCACCGCCCTTCTCGGCTTCCCGACGCTCGCACCTCGCGCTCGGGCTCGCGATGGGGAAGAAGTCCCGGGTGGTACCCGGCCGAAGGCCTATCCTGCAGCTCTCTCCGCCGGGTCCCCGGAGCAGCACGCCGGGCCGGGACCCGGAGCCCGAACCCG